TATATATATAAATTTATATTACTTTTTATTTCATTATATTATATTTAATTTAATTTATTTCTTTTTGCTTTTTACACTCTAGTTAGATCTGGTTTTGTTATATAATGACAGTTTAAAGTGTTAAATAAAAATATTATGACAGTTTGATGTGGTACATCTTTATTTATTTATTTATTTTTTTGTGTGTTTTAGCATTTTAATTAAGATTATGTAATATAACTACATTTAAATAATTTGAAGACTTATTGAGCTGCCCTGGAAGTTTGCTGATGCCCCCTAGTGGGCCCCGGCCCCCAACTGAGAACCACCATTCTATGGCATATTCATTTGTGGGGGAAAAAATCCTCACAAGAGAACAAAACTACACAAAATCAAAGAACATATAAGCCAGACTAAATGTAAAAAAGTCTGTTCACTTATTATTCATACTTCTCTTGTTGTTTATTTAAGAAAACCAAAAAAGTGCAAATTAATTTCTCACATTGTTGGGCCTATGCAGTTTGACGCAACATGAATACATTTTAATGTTTGATTTTAAGGATTTTTGTTGTTGTTGTTGTTTAACATTTTTAGTATCAGTTGGATTAAAGTCAAATCTGAATAGAAACGTGAAAACCAGCTGATTACAAAATCTTCTGTACTTTATTTCTGTCCACTGTTTTGAGACGAGATGTCCAGAGAAAGTGATTTATCAAAAATCAGTTCCCGACACATGTGAACATCATAACATGGACCATGCTAAATAAATCAATAAGTACTCAGTCATATTCCACAATTATAAAGCTTTTCAGTTTTGTTTGAGTGTATTAATACAAGAAGTGTACAAAAAGTATGAAGGCTGAAGTATATTTGGCATTCATTTATATCATACACAATATCCACTCAGCTCAGCATGACGTCAGAATAACCCTCTTCACCCAAGAGAAACAGTTGAACCCCATGACATTTGAACTAACTTAGTACTAAACGAGCCTCCACTTGTCATTTCATCAATTTTGAACCTCCGAAATGTCAGAAAGCCCTGTCAAACCAGACAAAACGTTCCACTTACCTTGTTTGGCAGTGAAGCGATGGTAAATCCCTAAATGTCTCAGAGCAGGGACATCCCAGTGTCCCAGAGGTTTCGTATCTGTGGATGTGTTTGTGTCTTAGTTTGTCACTGTCAGTGTCCAACTCAGAGAGTAACTAACTCTACATGTGCTGTCGTCCAACTGAAAGCACGTCTGAAGCCCGGGACTGGCTATAGTCACTTCCTGAGCTGTTTTGGAGCGCAAAAGACGATGCTTTTTCCTCAGGAAGCCGGCCATCCCCTTTCCTTTCCACCAGCTCTGAGCTTCCCCCACCACCTCTTGGGCCTCTGGGATCATGGGCACTATGACTCCACTAATTGCTCTGGGAGGCATGGATGCAGTACAGTATTTTTTGTTTATTTCTTTATTGACTGGCATGGATATGTGTGCTTATGACTAACATGACTGGTCATCACTGGTGTGTGGTGTGAGGGAAGTGGATCTGAGTGTGTAGGAGCCCACTGTCCTGCTTGGCTTTTGTCTGAAGCGTGTTTGTTGATGCTAAGCGTCCTAGCACATCTGAAGGTGTTTTCCCAACTGTGGGTTGAAATAAGCAGGGCAGACTGTTCCCCGGTCAATGAGTGCACCTGCACCATCTCTACGTGGGGTAGTTTGTTTGTTTTCTTACAGCATTGTATTAGACCTGAGGATCTATAGAGGCTTTGATCAGCACTGTGGTAATCAGTGCTATTTATATTGTTTACATCATAGGAACAAGCATGACTTTGCTGCTTGAAAGAATTCGCACAGCTCTATCTGAAAAACAATGTTTCTTTTGCTTTCTTTTTTTCCCTTTGTTGACAGGCCTCACCGTTGACATGGTATGTTTCAGATATAGCTTGTGTTTACAAAACGTTAACTTTGTACAGAGTTTAAAATCGCCATTCATGTTTTTCCATCTTTCAACAAACAATATTGCTGATTGATTGTCTGACTAGTTGTTAATGAAAGCTGAATAAGAGCTGCTGCTACTAATGCCAATGTCTGTGAATAAAATAATTACAGTTACGATTTTAAATTATAAAACATCTTCTGCACTGATTTTTAATCTTAAACGGTTTGTAAGGGAAGTGAAACACATTTATGCTATACAATAACATACAATAGCATTTATAACCAAAATAGCTTAAAACAGATTGACGTGCACAGAAGCATCACTGCCCTCTGCTGTCTTTTTCTGATATTTTTTACAGGTTAGCTTGTTAGATAGATACAAACATCCATAATTTTAACGTAATTTATTCTGAAAATGTCTTAATTTATCCTAATATTTTTTTTCACAAACTCATAAATCTGTCATTATTTACATTTGTTTATGTGTGTAAAAATTAAAAGGCAGAAAATCAAATACAAGCACAAAACTATTTGCATTTATGTACTTTAGTAAATATTATAATAATAATGATAATAATTAACTGAAGACATACAGTAGATTTATTATTATTTTATTTCACAAAGATATAACGGGCTATACAGCATTATTTATTTCTGTGTTCTTTAGCTTGTGTGTTTTTGTTTCATTTAAAATGAAGGCATACCAAAAGATAAATAGCCCGTTATAATTTTGTTCAGTTTCATATCATTTTAAATATAAAAGAAAACATACAAGTGAAACAAGCAAGTAAAACTAAAAACTAAAAAAAAAGTAAGACAAATTTCTGGAAGTCTGCCACTGTACAAACAAACATACCGGTGCATTATACAAACTAAAATACAGAGCTAGAAGAGAATCAACTCAAGAATTTCTTCAAAATGTGGAGTCTTCTTCAAACATATAATAAATTTGACCAGCTTGAGTAATTCATATAGTAGCAGCAAACATATTAACAATACCTCATGATTTTGTTACAAACCAGCCTTCATTTCTATACTGGGAAAAAGCTTAAGCTGTCAGTTTTAATGAAGCATATTAAATTCAGCACTGATATTCAAAACTTTTTTTTTTCTGAAAATTAATTTGATCCTACAAAATCTAACCACAGACATACACAACACAACAGGGAATTACTGTAACTGATTTCAAATCTAAAAAGCACTTTGCCAAAAATCTTTGGTCCATTTGTGAAAAACTCATGGGTTCAGCATAATCTAAAAAACCAAGAAATATTTCATGAGAAAAATCCTTAACATGGGTCAGTATTTCTAAGAAAAAACTATTTAAAATGGCTGCTATGCACTGTACAAATGGTTTTCACAGATGAACTAAAATTCACAAAATTAACTGTTTTTATTAAAGCCAAACAAGTTATTTAATATTTCCATATAATCCTGACTATAGTGGGTTATACTAACGAAAGCAATTTTAAGGGATCAGGTAGAAATAATTGCTTAAATTAACAAATACACGTTCAGTGAAAGCACTTCTATTGTAACAAACGAGACTCTCATTTATAATTGTTTCAAAATTTCAAAATTATTAAGACAACTTTTCACAGGTCCATGCAGTGGTCAGTCACTCAGTGTTTTACTCTGAGCTTTAGGCAAGATTTTTACATAAATATTTTTATAGCGTTTTTCTGTTTTGTTACTTGAAAAAATGAAGACAGCAGTATGCGCTGCTGATGCCTTGATATGACGTGGTTTTGATACAGGAGACTGAAGAGCTGTAGATGTTTGAGCAGATGCTCAGTGTCTCTCAGTGTCAGGAGAGCCCTGGCGATCAGAAAAGATGTGAAGCTGGGGATGTTCAATCCCATTGTTGTGGAGATCTTCTTGTTTCTGCAAACCATGAAGTTTATTCATCAGTTCTGTGATGAAGACCTGATGAAGATGAGGAGAAAAGCACATCATCACAGAAGAATTTTTAAAGACATGAATGAAAACACAACTTAGAGATAAGACCTGAATATTTTTTTAAAGTATTAACTTGTCAATATCAATTTCTTCAATTTTGTCAACAGAGGGCAGCAGAGGATGATGCAGTGTTTGTAGTCCTAAAAGTTTTAGCTGGTTAGCATGGCCCATTTAGCCCCTGCTGGTGGTTATTGTAACTACATCATCTGGCTTAAGAAAGTATTCAGCAAAAAAAAAAAAAAAGATTCCCTCAATTTTCTGGGTATTATCCCACAACACCCACGTTTTGATAAAGAATTTTGTCTAATCATTAACACTGTTAGTCACTATTTCCTGCAGTGTGACAGTGAGTCACTTTTATGTCTACAATAAACTCAAACACTTGCAGGGGGTTATTTAGTTAAAGATAAAACATCAAAGCTATGTGCAGAAAAGGACAACACAACTTTGTTTGAAATGAAAGAGCATGTTTATTTCCTATTGTTTGATAGAATTATAACATGGATATCAGAAGGGAGGTAGAGAAAAGGGGAGAGAAAGAGGTAGGTAGACTTACTTCTGTGTTGTTACCGCAGGTATGAAGGATGTCCTACAAGAAATAAAAATCGAGAGATTTATTAAAGAGCGTGACAAATCTTGTCCCGGCTGAAAATGGATTTGAATGGTTTAATGCTGGATTGATTCTTTTATTGCAATTAAAGAGATCTTGCTAGTTAAAGGAATATTTCATTAAATAATTTGTTCCAAAACCCTATGGATTTCTGTCTCATGTGGAAAACAAATAAAGAAACTTAAAAGAAGAAATTGCTCATAAAAGTAGCTCATATGATTCACTATTTGGGTTAACTGTTCCTTTAAACTAGTTAAATATACCACATACTGGTTTCTTCATCAGTAGTTTCAGAAAGCAGATACCTTAAGCTTCTGCATCCTTTCTTCATCACTCTGTAGATCTAGTAGCTCATCAATGTTCACTTCCTCTGGCATATCCTCTTCCTGTGAGGAGAGAAACATTTATGGCAGGGGTGCCCAAACTCGGTCCTGGAGGGTCGGTGTCCTGCAGAGTTTAGCTCCTACTTGCCTCAACACACCTGCTGGTAAGTTTCTAGTATGCCTATAAGAGCTTGATTAGCTGGTTCAGGTGTGTTTAATGGCCCTCCAGGACCGAGTATGGGCACCCCGATTTAAGGCCTCTTCACACCACCATGAAAAACGGTAGGCTGAAAGAAAATGTAATTTCACTCTCTGACAGTAGATGGCACATCTAGAAATCAAATTACACCGGTACACAAAGCGCTGTGCAACTTTCCGTTTCTGACACCCACTCCTCATGGAAAAGAGAGGAAGTCAAACAGTATTTATAAGATAGCCATTTCCGAGAGCACTGGCAAATTACAGACCCATTTCAAATCTTAATTTTTTTTTGTCTAAAATTTTAGAAAAGGTTGTGTCTGCTCAATTGTGCTCCTTCCTGCAAAAAAATTATCTCTATGAAGAATTTCCCCACCATAGCATAGAAACTGCACATATATATAATTTTAAGTCCTCATCATAGCACAGAAACTGCACTCATTAAATTTACAAGTGACTTGCTTATTGCATCAGACCAAGGCTGCATTTCATTGCTAGTTTTACTTGATTTTAGTGCTGCGTTCAACACTGTAGATCATGATACTTATAGATAGATTATAAAACCATATGGGTATTCAGGGACAGGTTTTAAGATGGTCTAAATCCTACCTGTCTGACCGTTACCACTTTGTTTATTTAAATGGGGAATTATCTCAGTTAACGCCAATGGAGTACTGCAAGGATCTATCTTAGGCCCTCTGCTATTTACTACCCCTTGGTAGTATTATTAGAAAATAGTAGAAAGATTAGTTTCCACTGTTATGCTGATGATACTCAACTATATATTTCAACAAGACCAAATTAAATTTCTAAATTATCCAAGCTAACAGAGTATGTAAAAGATTGGATGACCAATATTTGTTTTCTATTAAATTTGGATAAGAGAGCATTTTCTCATTTGGCTCCTAAACACTGCAGCGGCCTTCCTGATATTGTTCAGGGATCAGACACAGTAAATCTTTAAATCTAGATTAAAGACATCTCTTTAGCCAAGCGCTCACATAATACATCTAATAACCCTGCACTCTACTTTTATCTAATCAAAGGCATATTATCATTCCTTGCTTAAAATGTTATGAACTGTAGCTACACTAATTATTCTCTATCTGCTTTTCAGTTTCTGCCACGGGATGGGCATCCCGTTAATCATGATCAACATTTGTACTTGAATACGTCATTAACTAACTGCATGATTTGTACTATGATAACTGATACATCTCTGCCATACGGACATCACTTTGACATACTGAAGTCACCTCTGATAAATTGCTCTTAACTGTAGAAACATTCTTTTTCTGTGAAGCTGCTTTGCAACATTGTGTATTCTGAAAAGCACTGACTATACAAATAAATGTGAATTTAAAAAAGGTCAATTGAATTTCCAGATTCTCGATGCATGAAGCAGAGGTCACTTAAAACCCATCAGCTTTATATTGGTAAACACTGCGAATTTGCATGTTAAAAGTTCCGAAATAAATCCGCTGTGAAATTTGTGTGTAATATTCCTTATGTGAAATTCCCAAATTATGAAGACCGGAAATGCAAGCTCATGTGAAGATGTTTTGCATTTTGCTGCTTTCCAAAGTTCAAGTTTAAATGTGTGTCTAAAAGAAGATCAGTACATCACAGCATGATCTCTTAGCTTAAAAGTACACAAACATTAAAGCTACAGGTTTGCGACACTGCAGGAAGGTGAGTGTATATTTTTAAATTTAGGATTTATTATTTGTTATATGTTGATTTTATTTATTTTTTAAAAAGACACCAGACCCACTTTATATTAAGTGGCCTTAACAACTATGTACTTACATTTAAATTAATAATTTGGTACAATGCACTTATTGTGTACATACATGTTTTTACATTGTACTTATATTTTAAAAACACCTGCATGTAATTACATTTATAATTACACAGTTGACCCATCCCTTACACCTTAACCCACCCTTAAACCTACCCATACCACCAAACCTGTCCCTAACCTTACCCGTATCCCACCTCAATAGCAGCAAAAGTGTTTTGCAATACAATATGAACACAATAAGTACATTGTACTTAATTTTTGATGTAAGTACATAGTAGGCCACTTAATATAAAGTGGGGCCAAGACACCATAGAGTATGATGTCATATCACAACCATTTCAGTGGCTGAAGAAATTTAACATGCTCAATGTCTAGTGCAACTGGCTAACCGCCACTCATGGAATTTCACCACACAAAGCTAAATGTGACCGCACTTTTAAAATGCATATGGCACTGAATTTTTGCACTAAAAATGTCTAATACATAAAAATGGTCTAATAATAATTATGACAAAATGCTAAAATCGGAGTTCATCATTAATGCATTAATTAATAAATGGTGTGAACAGAGCATTTACAATTAGACTTAGTTTATGGCTTAATAAAAGAAACTCACAACTGTTACATACATTGTAAAAGGAAGAGTTGCATTAGATATGCACATTCAGACCTATTCTCACTTGACTGCCCACCACATAAATCAATGAATCCCCTGCTAAGCTGTCTCTAAATGTTAGAAGTCACACTAAATGAGAACAGTGGTGAAATCAGATGGACCAAACAGCCTTACAGAGCTCAAATCAAAGTATTGTCTCCTGCTCCATTCAGCAGCTGTCAATCTAGGCCAGGCAGCTGTCACTCAGCACTAATCTATTGTATGGGAATTAACAAGTCCCGCCCTTCCCTTTTATTCAAACCACCTCAAATACACCTCCAGATAAACCAGACTACTTATTATTTAATTAATGGCTTAATTCTGCATTGATTTTAAAATCGTAACTGCAGTGGGAAAATAATTTCCTCTAATAGGAAATGGTGTACCTGAAAAATACAACCTATTATTTATGGTGCGCACCTCTGTGTTTCAAGAACTATTTCATTTTCACTTCCCTTTCTATTGTGGCTTGGTGCCTTCGAAAATAGGCCAAGGTCAATACTCATGTCCTTCCAGTAAATCATTTACAAAAACAAAATCAGCTTGAAACCTGCCACCCACCAGCAAATCAGAATGAAAACATCACAGCATATTTTCTTTTAATATATGCCTATCTTATAATTTATTTGATCCCTTGATGACCTCTGTGCTTGATCTTAAATGAATGGTTCACAAAAAAAATGTAAATTTGTCACCATTTACTCACCCTCATGTCGCTCCAAACCTGTATAAGTTTCTTTCTTATGTTGAACACAAAAGAAGATATTTTGAAGAATTTTGAAGAACCAAACAGTTGGTCCCCATTGACTTTCAGTAGGTAAAGAAATATATGGAAGTAGTACTGTTTGATTACTAGCATTCTTCAAAATATCATCTTTTATTTTCACAACATGAGGGTACAGTAAATGTTGTTGTAAATGATGACAAAATTATCTATCCCTTGAAGCACAAAGGCTGTGATTTGATACACATTCACGGAAAATCAATTTGGAATGTTTGTAAGAAAAGTAGTAATGTCTGATTAATTAACAAAATGTTCAGAACAGGTTCAGATCATTCATGGAAATGATCAGAATCAAGAGATTTCAGTTGTATGGACCACTATTATGATACTATGATAAGGTGCTTTTGGATAGTTTTTTTGGAAAAGTTTTTTTTTTTTCGTTCCACAAAAGACGGAAAGTCAGACAACATGAGGGTGAATAAATTAACAACAAAATTTTGATTTAAAGGAATAGTTTACCCAAAAATTTAAATTTGCTACCAAATAGAGTCACAAATTTGCATCCAAATAGAGTTTATTTCTTCATCAAAACAGATTTTGATAAATTTAAACGGTCACTTCTGGAAAAAATATGAGTCCATAATGCATAATGCTTCCTCTATCCCATGTTGTCCTCTCACACCAAAATCCACCAACATATTTGTTTAGAACTGCTGTTTTCGCTTGTAAATGAGAGGACACATATTTTAGCGGAAGAAATGGTTTGAAGTTAAAAACGCCTTAATAATGAATTAGTATATTACAAACACACAGCTTTTCACTTTATATGACATTAATGGACTGGAGATTATTGTGATGTTTTTATCAGCTGTTTGGACTCATTCTGACGGCACCCATTCACTGCAGAGGATCCACTGGTGTAAAAGCAAAGACAAATACAAACTCATCTACATCTTGGATTAGCACTTTTTTATTTTTGGGTGAACTATTCCTTTATGGATGAACTATTGCATTAATTGATTTGTTATCATGAACATACTAAGATACAACTAACAGATTCAGTCTAACTTAAGTTAACACCAAGTACTGCAACTACGTTAACATGATTACCAAAGCTCCAAATTGCCATCAGTATGGTGTACATCCAGCAGGTTAAGAGCTGGTCATGCAAGTCAGTGTGTCTCCTGATAAAGTTACGGATAACTACAGGGAACATGGTTGGCGTGGGACTTTCAAAATCCTGAAACTAACACCACCGTTGAAAGGTCAATCAGAGAAAGATCCAAGCTGAAAGCCCTACCAGGGCATCAATGACCTTTCTTTTAACTCCAAATGCCACTGAAATGCTGTGAAACAAACATAACCCTTCACATGCTGAACGTACAGGGTAAACCTTTAGTAACTGAAAGTTTGTGCTTTTGCTTTAGATTCGTTCCTGAGCAGAGAAGCTATGCACCTTCAATAGAAAACTGAAAAGTAGTGTACCAAATATCTTCAGAATTTATTATGTGTAGATATTCATGTCAATTTTGGTTGGTCATGGTTTATTTAATGTTGAACTATCCCTTTATTCAAAATAAACCAACACAAGCAATAAAATAAGCTAAAACAACAAAAAAATCTAGATTTTATTTTACCCCCTCAAGTGTAAGTCTAGAAAAAACCTATGAGGTAGCCTAATTTTGAAAGTGTGGTGTCTAATGTAAAATTATAAAATGTTATAACCCCAAGGGCATTTTTTAAAATAATATTTGAAAATATATTTGAAAATATTTTATCTGGGAAGAAATTGTGAGTAAAAATCTTTTTAAAAATCTTTAAAAGTCTTAATCCTTATAAAGTATAAATAAATAAATATATAGTATAAATATATAAAAAAATTATACACTATATAAAAAAAAAGTAAAATACATCTGTTAAAATACATTTAAAAAGTTAAATAAATCTGTTGTACATTCAAACTCTTTCATAAAGAGACATATTTTTGCATGATAAACTGCAAATAATACTGCATTAACTAATCTTACATGCTATAGATAATCTCTGATGGAGCACTGCGCTCGCACTTCAGCGCCTCTCATGTCAGCTTAGTCCAACCAGAGTAAAATGTCAGATCTTTTGTGCATCATCTGCCCTTAGGACTCCATAAACTGTGATGTAACAGTACGCCGATCCACATTAAATGCAAAAGTGCATGTGAGATCAACACGGGCTGACATGGTTTAGTCTAACTATTTACATTACATGCCTTTGACGGAATTGTTATCATTTATCCACAAGAAAGACCTTTTTCACAAGAAACCATTTAGTTATTCTTCAAATATTTGTGCATGCAGAATAAATGATTTAATGCAGCCTTTGTTTACTAGTGACCTCTTTACAAGCTGACCGTTTTAGGAACAAGAACTCATCTACAGGTCAACTCTGAAATGTAATATTCTAAATGTGGATCTGTTTTGCTCTTTGGTCCTTGTGATGCTGATATAAGCACTTTGGCTGAATCCATTCTGATCATCATCAGACGTTAATGCATTACCACTTCTCAAACTGAACTGATAATGTACATCAAAACATAAAAAATGCCTTTTATGCATTAAACATGTAACATCCTTTATTGTGAATAACACAATAAATTCCAGCTAATGCTAGCTAGCTAATGCTAAACTTCTCAACTGGAGTTACATTAAGATCAAATGGTGACCCAACATGGTACCAACCAGTACTTAATGCAGTCTGGGTTTTCTTTTCCTTCCATTTCAAAGTGCACACCATGTTAGCATGTGCCTAATTTGACTGTCTTATACCAAGTGACACATTCATTTGCATCAAAATACCACAGATTATGAGTGAATACATAACCTCTGACATCTACAACAAGATTTATGAGAAGTGGTTTCTCCTTTCCTTTCAAAAGTTGATCAGCCTGTTAATTTAGCTACCCCAACCATGCATGATTACATTTCACAAAACCTTTTTATGTTATTTTTAGCATTTAGCTTTGTTTTATCCATAACACTATCAGAAAAGACTTATGTAGTACAATTGCTGTTAACTATTACTCATTTTTTGGATTTCACATATGTCAAATCTGTAGTGCAAAGTTTTGTGACTACGTTTGGCCCACTGACATGGAATAAAAGATGAACCAGCCTCTGGACTACAAATAAACATGAATCTGTCCACTACGGGACTCTAATCTAGGCTTTTTTATTAAGCTTTAATAGAGCAGAGGACTAATGGTCCCGCTTAATGGGGCTTGTGATGCCCTGTCCGTGGACCAGTTGGTAGCGGGTAGTCGTTTTGCGGGATGGGGGTGGAGGACAGTTGCAGGAGGGCTTTCTTTGTGTGATACAGTGACATATGGGGTCTTCATTTCTACAGCCCCCATCCCCCTTACTCATAAGAAACACCCCATGAGACAAATATACCATCAATCAATCCCAGGACCATAAGAGCAGGACGTAGTTGGGCCTGCTGCCGACAGGAAATGAAGGGGGGGATCTGATTACAGCCTCAGTGGGGGCTGTTTCTTTTTTAGCACCAACATCACATCATAAAGATGACAAAAAGCTGATTGTTAGGATTCGTCCAGTCATCATGTACTCTTAAAGAACTGGTAAAAGTTGTCACTGGGGTGGTACCCTTTCAAAAGGTACTAATATGTAGCATTTAGTTACCAATATGTACACTTTAGGAGCTAATATGTACCTTCAAGGTACTATTATGCACCCTTTAGGGATAAATAAGGTACAAAGATGTACCTTTTAAAAGGATAGGATCCTAGTGGCAGCTTTTGTACCTTTTTTTCTGACGTGTGATATTGTGCCATACTAGTGTGTACAATTTACATGGTACTACTTCTTTATGCTACATTTTAACAAATGTAATATATATATATATATATATGTAAATAAAACAGATTATTACAATAGCTATTACAATGAAATAATATTTCATGTTTGTCACATAAATTACATATTTTATTCAATGCAGTCCTTGCTGTTTCTTATTTCAATGTACAATTTAAAGTAGACAGTGCAAAAGCAGCTAGACCCTGTTTAAAAAAATAATGGATTTACATGAGATTAAAATATGCTACTTTAATTAGTAACAGGCAAATTTGGAAATATACAGATTGTGAAACATACTGCTTTAAAACCACTAATTATAGATGTTGAAACTAAATGTGTTGCAACACCCCTCGATCTCTCCTACAAAATTTCATAATTATCGTGGCAGGACGCCATGTGCGTTCCAGTGTCAGAGCTCAAGCATCTGCCTCCTCACATCGACCATCACAAAGCCCAGTGACTGTGAATGTTTACTGTTTTCCAGAAGCCTGCTGGCATCCCATCCCAGAGCTTTCCATGTAAGGCAGCAAGCGCACCAACAAGTCTTGACCGCATCTTTAAACATTTAAGGTCAGCCCCCTGATCTTGCTGCTCATGGGAACTGGACCCTCTGAGGAAAAAAATCCCCTCTGTCCTAAAATACCCCAAGACACAGGAATGTAAACGAATCAGATATAAATTGCTAGCATTTCTGCATATCAGACATGTTTACTTGTCTTAGTTTTTCAAGCCTCACAGGAGAACAGGATAAGTAGCCTGATGTAGCTTAACTATGTGTGCTAAATCAGCAGCGTAAAGACCATTTGGAGATGCAAATCATGTCAAAGTTTGAGGGTAAAAATCTTCACAACTTACTTTTGTGGTCTTAAATAACGATTTCTTATGACTTATGACATTACAAGATTTTAAAGAATTTAATAGTGATATTTCTGCTAATATTCATTTTCCATCCTACTGATGGAAAAGTAAGAAAAAAAGGTAACACTTTACTTAAAGCCTTCATGTATAATGCATTATAAAAGTGGGTTTAATGCATTAATTATGCCTTGTATACACCTATAATGCATTGTACAATCTCAGGAATGTTTGTAAGCAAAGTTAATACATTATAACACTTATCAACTCATTGTTACACTTTGCATAATTCAGTTATAATTAGTTCAGTTCTCTCTCTCTATATATATATATGTATATATTTAGTATATATAGTTCAGAAAGCCCATCTGGAATTTTCTTCTAAAATGAGCATTTGTCTCAGGCTCCTACATTTATGTTCAGTTATTACTGAACCTACATATGAGAGCCTGAGAAAAATGCTCATTTTAGAAGAAAATTTTAGATGAGAGCAAGCATGAGAGAGAGAGAGAGTATAAATACAAAATACTAGCTTGTATAATACACAAACACACACACACACATATATATATATATACACACACACAAAATGTGCACATGTAAATAGTCTACATAAACTAAAACTAAACTAAAATGAATTGCTATAAATATTATATATATATATATATATATATATATATATATAAACCCTACTATAATAACACATAGTAAAAATTGGTATCAGCTCGTCATTGTTTACACATATATCACAAAAGGCTGTCGTTTCGTGGATTTGACCCAAGAAAAGGTTCACGCCCTTTATGAATAAACATGCAGAATAATCACTGATTAGCACATCAAAAGGGACTCAATCAAACATTATTTCGAAACTTACTTGTGGAATTAAAATCCTTTATCGTATTTTACCATCTTTGCCATCAGACATTTTACATTCCATTCTGAATTCAAACGGTGTGACACCTGCTTCACAATTTGGGACACGTAGACTAGGTGCACATTTCCACGTGGATAGTGATGATGTTAAATCTTCCTCCCACGGATAGAAACTTTATTATTCAATATTATTGCGTCTTACCAATTAATTAATTCCAGACATAAGACATAATCAGCAATCAAGAAGATTTTTATCTTATTTTTTTTATTTATCAGAAACGCCTTTGCTGCTTCCATGTCATTAAATATTAACAGAACTATTTGAAATTCTTCATACTGAATATGTATGTCATTTATTACATTTTATTGTACTCGTGTAATATAATTCTTTGTTACAAGAGCACTCACCCTTCCCAAATACAGCTCGTCAAGTCCACAATCTATCCACTTTTCCACATCCAGGCGCCTCTGGAGTTCCCTTCTGTTATATTTTACGGTGACTCGTGCTTGCCTCTTCTGCACGCTCAGTCCAGCTTCCCGGCTGGTACCACGGTTCGGTGAGTGGATCTTATTGTTATAACGCCTCCCCACCCGATTCGCAGCCATCTCCAGACTGACCCCACGGATGGACACTTGCATACAAATAATTGATCAGGAGTCTGGCGGAGTAGGTGCGCTGCTCCAGCACGAGGGAGCGCTGACACCTCCAGAGCGCGCCGGGCCGCAGGGTCCTAGCGCTGCGATCAGTGTTGCCAACTTAGCAATTTTGTTGCTAAATTTAGCAACTTTTCAGACTACCCTAGCAACTTTTTCTTCCAAAAGCACCTAGCAATAAATTTAGCTATTTTAAAAATTAAAACTTTTAGCAACTTTTGATAAGTGACGCAGACAATAAAAAGGCACACATTTTCCATCCAAATTACACAAAAAGAGGAAACCAAAGATGCCTAGGAGTACACACATCATGTGAATTAAGTTAGCTGCCATTTGCAATTGTTCAATTTAATAATAATAATAATTTAATAATCTAATAATTGTTAATTTATGATACACTTTGTTAGTAGCTTGTACCTGCGATTGTTGTTCAGTTAGTACACTGTAAGAAAAATGAAAAAGATACTAGTAATTTTCCAAGATATTATCCATTATCCACTGTAACCCTGTAACCAGAAAACACAATGCGTAATTTAAAATGCAGGTAAAAATAAAACCAATACAGAAAATTATTTAATATTAACATTGATATTAGATTGTGCCCTATTTTTACAGACTTTGCTACTTCTACTACTAGTGTAGCATACTAACTAACTACTAATACACTGCTTAAAGCATAATTGTTGAGAATGTGTAGTATTACTAGTTATTAAAAAAACGTTTAATAAGTGTTCAATAATTCAATGTATTTAAAATGCAGTTATTTATATTTTATTATATTATGCATATTATTTTACAAACAAATCTAAATTAACATATATCAAATAGTTTTTTGCTGAGATTTGATGTTGTGACAATTTTGCATCTTGATTACGCAGTGACGTCATCGCACAAGGACATCATAACGTCATTTAGCAACAAATCGACCTTCCTTTAGCAACTTTCTCTGAAAATTATTTGGCAACACTGGCTGCGATGTTACCGCCTTACCTTCGCTCTCGCTTGGGGTCTGGCAACCACCAGAGGCCCGCAAGAAGGTGCTAATAGTAAGTGCAAAAATAACCATTTGCTGAAAATATTACGTAGAGTCCAATCAACTGATAAAAACACCACAATCATCCAAAGTAACGCCAGTCCATCAATTTGTAAAGTCAAAAGCTGCATGTTTGTAATAAACAAATCCATCAATAAGGCATTTTAACATTAAACTGTTGCTACTGGCCAAAATACCAGTCCGTAATCAATAATAACGTTTCTTGCAGTAAAGTTCACCCCCAGTTGTTCTCTTACATCAAAACCCAATCACATGTTTAGGACTGTTTAGGACTTTTTTCACTTGCAATTAAACAGTGTTTCATCTGGGCATATTTCTCTCCTGATCTGGCAGACACTTTTTCACTTGTGAAAGCGCTTTTTTTCTTTACTAGTCATGGCCTAATGGTTAGGGAGTCTGACTTGTAACCCAAAGGTCATGGGTTCGAGTCTTGGTACCAGCAGGGATTGTAGGTGGGAGGAGTGAATATACAGCGCTCTCTTCCAACTTCAATGAGCAAGGCACCGAACCCACAACTGCTCCTGGGCGCTATACAGCAAAAATGGCTGCACACTGCTCTGGGTGTGTGTGTTTGTTCACTACCCACTTCTTTGTGTCTGTACTTGGACTGGTGAGCACAAATTACCATACTTGGCCACACGTCACCTCCCTTCTTTTCCTTTTCCTTTACAAGACATTAATTGATGGAGTCGTGTGGATTACTTGTGGATTATTATTTTTTAATCAGCTGTTTGAACTCTCATTCTGACGGCACCCATTCACTGCAGAGGATCCATTGGTGAGCAAGTGATGTAATGTTAAATTTCTCCAAATCTGTTCTGATGAAGAAACAAACTCACCTATGACCTGAAGGTGAGTACATTTTCAGCTAATTTAAATTTTTGGGTGAACTATTCCTTTAAACAAACAAAACAATAAGGTTTATATTTGTGTTATATATTCAACTATTATGTACAATAATATATATATATATATATATATATATATTAATGAAACAAATTACAGCAGGCTATAAGGTAGGCTATGTGCCCACAGTGTGACTAATTCATCATATGTTTATTGCATTGTCTCATTGTTTTGTATGGACAGTCAAAAGAGAGATTTTGTAAAGATAAATGACTATGAATTTCTAGTATTCTGTGGAAAAGTGATGAATGACATCTGACATCATTATATTCTGAGATGTTAGATAGGCTACTCTTCCTGTTAAACAACCTAACATCATCTGTGAAACCATCTATCTATTTATTTCTCATAAACTACTTGACACCATCTCTATTAATAATTTTATTGAGGACTATTTATGATAATAATGGCTTCAAAATGTTGTTGGAAGATATTTGCATATGTTTTTAAAGAGAAAATTGCTATTTATTTTAATTTCTCTTAATTTTGATCTAGAGTGAAGATGTATGTTAAGACATCCAAATATATAGTTTAGTATATACTAATCTATATATTAAGTATATAGTCAGAAATCAAGATCATTTTTAGTCATGTATTAAAAAATAATAATTTTATTGACTTGATTTTATTTGCACAAAAGCAGCTCATTGTTTTTAGAAGCAACTATTTTTTAATTCTAAAATGCATGCTTTTTTCATGTCATTTCATCTGACATTTTATCTGATATCTGACAATACCTTGGTTAATTTGTCATGTGAATTGTGAAATAACTGTCATTTAATAGATGCTTAGTAATACATTTACCTAGACCAGTGGTTCTCAAACCTGTCCTGTTGTACCCCCATGCAGCCCTGCACATTTTGTATGTCTCCCTCATCTATCACACCTGATTCAACTCATCAGCTCATTAGTGGAGACTGCAAGACCTGAAGTGGGTGTGTAAGATATAGGGAGACATACAAAATGTGCAGTGCTGGGGGTACTTCATGGAGAGGTTTAAGAACCACTGACCTAGACTTTCAGTACAGATGTTTCCCACACACACAGACTGTTGTTGTATCATGGTGATGCCCACTGCTTTTACTGTATACTGACCTCATGACATTCTTTATCCCCTATATCTAAGCCTAATCCTCCACAAACCTCTAGTAGCTTATCTTTATAGTTTCATTAAGACATAATTTGCATGTTTATTAAGCTGTTTCCTCACGATGATCAGCTGGTCATAGGCAGCTGATTTTAGTTTTTGCTTCTCTTGAGGGGACATTTAGGTTCCCACAATGTAAGCAAAACCTTACCCCCACACACAGTCTAAACCAGGGGTGCCCAAACTCGGCCCTGGAGGGCCGGTGTCCTGAAGAGTTTAGCTCCAACTCCAATTAAACACACCTGAACCAGTTAATCAAGCTCTTACTAGGCATACTAGAAACTTGAAGGCAGGTGTGTTGAGGCAAGTTGGAGCTAAGGTTGGCGGTTTCCGTAAGGTGTCGTGGCGGTGGAGCTGCTGTGGGCATCGTGTTTGGAGTCTACGGCGGTTGACATAAACTGGTTTGTGACTGGATTAAGATGATTTCTGGGGTAATCGATGAAGACGAAATGGCGTCAGATGACTGGAATTTAATAAGTAGTAGGAAAGGACAAGAAAAAAGAAAGAGTGGGCGAAAAGAAGGGAGTTGGGTAGATAGCCAAACCAGTAAAAGGGGCTTAGAAGGAAACAGCTCAGATGAAGATAATAGGGTTGTACGTAAAAAGGTCGTAAGAGAGGAATATAAAGTAATTCTTAAATTCAGAAAGGAAGATGAACAGGTTAATCTAAGTCCAATAGCATTGTCTAGAGAGTTGAAGAAAAAGTTAGGAGAAGTGGATACGGCTAAGATTTTGAGAGATGGAAGCCTGTTAGTAATATGTAAAACAGAAGAACAAAAAAACAAAGCACTAAAAATTGATAATGTTTGCAAGAAAAAAGTGAATGAAAGGAAGATGTTGGGTGAGAGACGAATGAAACAGGGAGTGATAACAGGCATTCCAATCGAAGAAGATCTAGAAAGGCTCAAACAAAGTATTTCTGGAGGTGAAGTGAGTACAATAAAAAGGTTGCAAAAAACAATGAATGGGGAAAGGGCTGATAGTTTATCAATTCTTTTGGAGTTTCAGGATTCAGTGCTTCCAGAAAGAGTCAAAATTGGATATATGAGCTTTGCAGTGAGGCCATATATTCCTCCCCCACTCCACTGTTATAGATGTCAGAGATATGGACATAGAGCAGCGGTGTGCAAAGGAAAACAAAGATGCCCTAAGTGTGGAGGTGATCATAGAATTGAAAATTGTGAGGGGGGGATTGCTTATGTAATTAATTGTACGGACCAAGTCAGACACAAAGCAGAGAAAATTAAAATAATTGTGAAGGGAGCTAACCATTTTTGGGTATAAACAACATATCTTGGGAAAATATCAATAAAAGGCTGGAAGTTGATGGGAAGTCGGGAGATGCAGGTGATAAGACAACTTGAATATTGTACAATGGAATGCAAGAAGCTTGTTAGCAAATGGTCAAGAGTTTAAAGGTTTTATAAAAGGGTTTAAAAAGAAACCAGAAATCATATGCATTCAGGAAACCTGGCTTAAACCAGTTTTAGATTTTAGTATTAAAGGTTATGATAGTATACGCAGGGATAGAGAGGAAGATATTGGGGGAGGGTGTATAATATTTGTAAAACAAGGAATACAATATAAGGTTTTAGGGAAAGGAAAGGAGTTGGAATTTATAATAATAGAAGTATTGGAAAAAAAAGGAAATGTTAAAATTATTAATTTTTATAATCCACGTAAAAGGCTATCACTAGAGGTATTGGATGAATTGATTGTACATTTAGAAGGGAAAATCATATGTTGCGGAGATTTTAATGCTCATAGCACGTTATGGGACAATTGTAATGATGGGAATGGAATAGTGATTGAAGAATTAATGGAGATTAAGGATTTAGTATGTTTAAATGATGGAAGGGGAACAAGGATTAATGTAAGAACAGGAACAGAAGCAGCTATTGATCTTACACTTGTTTCAATAGGCGTCCCACAGAGGGGACGGGTGACAGTTAAAGGGTTAAAAAGAAACCAGAAATCATATGCATGCAAAAAAAAAAGGAAATGTTAAAATGTATAAATTTTTATAATCCATGTAAAAGACTATCACTAGAGGTATTGGATGAATTGATTGTACATTTAGAAGGGAAAATCATATGTTGCGGAGATTTTAATGCTCATAGCACGTTATGGGACAATTGTAATGATGGGAATGGAATAGTGATTGAAGAATTAATGGAGATTAAGGATTTAGTATGTTTAAATGATGGAAGGGGAACAAGGATTAATGTAAGAACAGGAACAGAAGCAGCTATTGATCTTACACTTGTTTCAAATTCACTGGCGGGTATATGTTTATGGAAGGTGTTTAGAGAAACAACTATAGGGAGTGATTATTATCCTATAGTGATTGAAGTAAACTTATGTATAGAAGAGTGTAATACAGGAGGAGTAGACAAATGGTTTTTTGAAAATGCAGATTAGGAGGCATTTAGGAATATTAGTGAACAAGAAATGGAAAAAATTGAAGTTAAAGAAGAGGTTGATAAGGTTAATAAAGATATTTGTAATGCTATATTGTTAGCAGCAAGTCAGACTATTCCAAAGAAGGGAGGTAAGAAAAAGAAGAAGATTGTACCATGGTGGACAAAAGAATGTGATCAAGCAATTAAATCTCGAAATAAAGCTTTTAAAATGTTAAAAAAGAATCATAGTTTTCAGAATTTTATTGAATATAAAAGGAAGCAAGCAAATGTAAGGAGAATCATCAAATATACAAAAAAAAAGAGTTTTGGAGGAAGTTTTGTAACGCAGTGGGAAGGGAAACAGAAATAGGTCAAGTATGGGGAATGATAAAAAGAATGAATGGGATAAAAAGAAAAGAGAGTTTGGGTATCCAATTTTAAGGGATGGAGATACAACAGCTGTAAAAGATGAAGAGAAAGCAGAAATGTTGGCGAAAAATTGTTAAAATACATAAATCGGACAATATTAGTGAGGAGGGAAAAAGAGGAAGGGAAAGGACGTTGGAGCAGTATAAAGAGATAATACAGAATGAGGAATACAATAATGATCAACTAAATATGACATTTATGAAGTCGGAGTTAAATCGATCTCTTAGAAAAAACAGGAAATCAGCTCCAGGTATGGATCAGATTTGCTATTTAATGATAAGTCATCTCAGTGAATTATCCAAGGATGTTTTATTAAAAATGTACAATAAAATTTGGGAGGAAGGAAAATTACCACAAAGTTGGAAGGAGGCGGTGATAGTTCCAATACGTAAACCTGGGAAAGATTGTACAAATCCAGGAAATTATAGACCTATTGCTTTGACGTCTAATATTGGTAAGATAATGGAAAAAATGGTGAATGAAAGGTTAATGTATCATGTGGAAAATAAGAATTTTTTATCCAAATATCAGAGTGGTTTTAGGAGAGGGAGAAATACAATGGATCCGGCTGTGTGTTTAGAACACGAAATAAGAAAAGCACAAATAAATAGAGAGAGTGTAGTGGCGGTCTTCTTTGACATAGAGAAAGCATACGACATTTGTTGTTTGTCAACCGCCAATAAAATTTCAAGAAGAAGTTGGAGCTGAACTCCAGTTTGGGCAGCTCTGGTTTAAACTATATAACGCTAGACTAATTGACAAAACAAGTGGTGTTATGAAAAATATGCATGCAACTGTACCCTGAGGTTGAGTGCATATTCATATACAGCTTCCAGAAATACATAATGTGAGGAAATTATGTGAGTTTCATCGATAGCTCAGCAGTCCTGTCGCTGCATAGGCGACCTCTAAGGTATGATTTTTTTAAATTTTATTTTATTATTTTTTATTTATTTTATTAGACATTAAAGACATAACATGCAACATTTACAACTTTAACAAGACATCCAACAAGATAACACAATTAAAGGAATGGGTTTACATTACATGGGAAAATAAATAAAGAAAAATCAATAATAATACTTAAAGAAAAACAAAAAGACAGCATATACCCGTTCAATTTTCAAGTACCTCTGCGGTATGAGAATCTTGTGAAAGACAAACAGTGACGTCACGTAAGAGGAAGTTGTTTGTTGCACTATTTGACAGTAGTGGAGACACACCTGCTGCGTCTGCATACACGAGCTATATAGACAAAGTTTCGTTTACACAGGCGTGCCCATAGAGTTAGTTCACTTTATTCGATTCGACCGTCGGTCATAACCGACAAGAGCTAGGACAGGTAGACGGGAAGTGAAGAATGGCTCAGGTGTGTTTCACTGCTTCCCTCGTCGGGTTGCTGTGTTGTCTGTCGGTTCTAAACGCGTGTACGTGGGACCCGGACACGGAGCTCGAGCAGGGTCTGGACATCAGCTCGTTTGATAACGGCGCGGCTTACCTGGCTCACCTGCCGGAGATCACGGACGCAGAGCAGTGTCAGAGTGCTTGCTGTGAGAGAGACGACTGCCAGCTCGCTGTGATCGGGACTCCGGCGGACGACGGCAGGCCAGAGTGCATCCTGGTCAGCTGTATGAAAGACGGCAAAGACGTGTGTGTTTTGACCCAGAGCACACAGTTTAAGGTGTATCGCAAGATCCTGGATAGCGCTGATCAAGAGCCTCGTTTACAGGACGAAGTTCGCTCTGTAAACAGCACAGGTACTGTACAAATTATTCTAAACCAAACGCCAAAATGCACTGGAAACCGGAAAATGACCATATGTAAAAATTAGCCTACTCTTAGGGAAAGTTTGTGGAACATTTATGTAATAAAAATTAGTTGAAAAAATAAATCAAAGACAAAGTTGGCTAATGAATACTCGTGAGTCATGAATGTATTTTCAAAACATATTTACCAAAGATTTGTACAAAATGTACCTTGTCATAAAACGGGCAAAATATGTAATAAAAAAACGTATTGACCCATACACAGTTGGTTTTATAGCTTTCGTCTCACGTTACTAAAAATTTGTGTTGGTTACATCACACAGACTTCAACATTTTTTTTTCAAATATGAAAAATACTATTTTAAAACTAAATAGCTTTTTTTAAAGGCATAACAATAAATAATTATGCCAAACTACAAATGCCGATTTAATTTGTAAATTTTTTTCAATTTTACAAGTTTTTCATGAAGGCTTATTCCCTCAACTAACAGTGTACATTAAAATGATTTGTAACAACATGCCTGACTCACCCAAAAATACTACTACTACTACTAATAATAATAAATGCAAACAAACTAAATAATATAAAAATAAATAAGTAACTACAAATAAGTATTGTTGTTATATTATTAGTTCATGTTGTAACTTGTTTGGCCATATGTTACATGTATGTGAACAACAATAAAAGGGAAGTTCAGCATTTCATGGAATATACATGAGGTTGATACGTAATATAATGTTTGTTCACTGAGAAACTGTTAATAATTATCTGTGATCTTAAATAGTTTTAAATAAACGTAACACCGAAAAAGAGAAAATGCAGAAACCCTCCCCTATTTCCAGAAAGTGGTGCAGCATTGTTGTCCACTGACCTGAGCAACCTGTACTTCAGGTTTTACAAGCCAGTACTGTAAACAAAAGACTTAAACTGCAGAAGGGAAGGTAAAGTCACATATTCCCATACCTGAATGACATCATAATTTGTGTACCACAGTAATATGTTACAACGAGAGATCTGAGGTCTGCAGTTTTATCATGAACAAATGCATTGGCAATTTGACTGCCAGTTCAAATCAGAGAAACATATTTAGGACAGTCAACACATGTACACTATATTAAGACTATTCCTTTTCTTCTGACTTATCAGATCACTGCCGTCTCCCAAGTGTGGTGGGAATTTGCCGCGCTGCCTTCCCACGATTTTATTATGATGTCACAGATCAGACCTGCAAGCAGTTCATCTATGGCGGCTGTGGAGGCAACGATAACAACTTTAACTCCCAGGAGGAATGTGAGGCTTCCTGTAGTGGGGTGACAGGTAAATACCAGACAATATTTAGTTTATTTAGTTGTTAACATTTCAGTTTTATGCAAACCTTTATGTAATAGGTTCATTGACCCTAATCCCAAATGCAATTGTGATGGATTTACTTTGAGATATTGACCTGCTGATCTGTTTTTATAGCAATAGTTCAAAAGTTTGGGGTTGGTAGGGTTTATTTAATGATTGTGAGGTTTCCTACGCTCACCAAGGCTGCATTTATTTGATTAAAAATACAATAAAAAAAGCAATATTGTGAAATATTATTACAATGTGAAATACCTGTTTTCTATTTGAATATATTTTAAAATGTAATTTATTCCTTTAATACAAAGCTGAATTTTCAGCATCATTACTCCAGTCTTCAGTGTCACATGATCTTTCAGAAATCATTCTAATATGCTGATTTGCTGCTCAAGAAACGTTTACTATTATTATTATCAATGTTGAAAACAGTTGTGCTGATTCATATTTTTGTGGAAACCGTGATAGGTTATTTCCAGGATTCTTTGGTGAATAGAAAGTTGATTTGAAATGGGAAACCTTTACTGTTGAATTTTTGATCAATTTAATGTGTCCTTTCTTTTCTTTTAATTAATTTACTTGCTATGATTTACTGATTTGGACCTCCTGCTTTAGAGCTACGCTTTTGTGTCAAGCCCTTTTCATTGTTTGGCCATCACAGCTGAGTCGTCTGTACATGTGAAGTGAGTCTACTGAAGTGCAGTGACAAAAACAGGGCATTAGATGACTGACAAAAGGAATCTTCTGTAAGGTGTGGTATTAAGTTGAGTAATTTTATTAGATTTGTTGCAGCACACAGCTGATGATTGTATAATATGACTCAAAGGATCATCATACTTTACTTTCATGATTGGAGCACTATATTTATGCTCCACACAGTGTGTCAGCACAGCAGACTTGTTAGGATGTAGTATGCAAGAAATGTGGCAAAATAAATGCAAATCAATAAACATCCTGGATTTGAGGCCAGCTGCCATTTGCATCTTAGTTAATGTTTTCATTGGCTTTCATTGGGCATGCAGAGGAAATGCAGATAAATTTAGTGTACTGAAAGAAAAACATTGTGTTTTATTGAGGATTTGGGTTTAAATCTAAAATCACATACATACTGGTATTGTGTGGCACATTGCAATCACTGTAAAAGTCACTTGGAAAGGTTTTTAGAGCATATCAGTCTATGATCTGACATGTCTGTGGTGATGAAAACAGAGGTTTAGAGAAAGAGACCAAAATATGAGCTTTGGAAAGCCATACAACTTTTATTACAGCCTTTCTCCAGTGAAAGTGGGCACAAATCCAGTACCCACATTGTAGTTTTTGGTTGGCTGTGTGCTCAGTATGGTCAGTGTGTTGGTTCACATCCTGCTATATTTGAATGGTGTCGAGTTGATTTCCACTTAGAGTTCGTTCGTAGTAGAGTTCAGCCAGGTAACTTGACATGCGGCCTGTTTTATTACATTAGCTAAGCGTATAGTTGTTTTAATTGTATGGGCTGAAATCAAAACTACTTCAGTCAAAGTCAATTAGGTCGTCTTTTCTACAGCTTGGACAACTTCAGTGAGTTTCAGTGAGTTTATGCTGAATGTCTTAACAAATTGGTTTCAACTTACTCTGGGAATAACCGGTTTGGTGACCTCTATACAGATGGATTACCTGTCCTCGACAAAGGCATGACAAACACATTAGCTGTCACTCTTTTTCTTTTACCTCTTTCCTCTCAAGCATTGCATTTAAACATGTGATAGATTTAGACTGAGAAGGAAAGAGGAAAGGGATTTTTAGTTTTCTTTAAGGGGTCATTGTGCTTTGTTCCTGCTGTATCCGAATGACCCTTTGTGATCCGTGGAATTACCAGTTTTATGAGATGAGATGTTTAATTGGAAAAAGATGCCATCTGCTTCCAATAGAAACGCTTAGGCAAAATCCTATCATTGTCATCAGGAAATCATATGAAGGATTTTATTTACAACACTCCGGTGTTGCACAACTGTTTTGTGTTATGCAACGTAATTGTGTGTGTGCCGGTGTGTTTGTGTGAGGGTGTGTTACAAATTGTGCAACCGTGTCCATGAGACTTGCACTACATTTTTGTTTTTTTTATAGAACATTCCTGTTCATTTTCCTTAGAAAACATGGAAAAGATTAGTTTAGTTTGGTATTTTCTTACTGAATTACTGACCCCAGATTTTGAATGGTAGTGTAAGATAAGTAAATTTTTTTTAAAGACATTAATACTTTTATTGCATTCAACTGATCAAAAGTGGCCGTGACTTCTGAGCTTTCTATTCTTCAAAAAAATCCTGGAAAAAAAAGTATTATCAATTCCACACACACACACACGAAAACTATTAAGCAGCACAACTATTTTTAACATTGATAACAAGAAATGTTTCTTAGGCACCAAATTAGAATATTAAAATGATTTAAAAGGATCATGTGACACTGAAGACTGGAGTAATGACTGCTGAAAATGTAATATAATATATTAAATAAAATATATTGTAATAATATTTCACAATATTACTGTTTGTACTGTATTTTTTATCAAATAAATGTAGGCTTGGTTTTAAAACATTTAAAAACAAACACAAGGAGTACCAACTTTGAAATGGTAGTGTATGTCTCTTGTTCAGAAATATATAGTTATATACACACAGTTTAGTCATTTAAAGTGTCTCTCTGCTCTCTTCAGTTGCTGTGTCCGAGGATTCTCATTCCATCTCTCAACGTAGCAGAATGTCTCAACCTGAAAACAACATTGGTAATCAAATCTGTCTGTTATCAAGATGTCCCAGTGAGACCGGTTATGGCACAGCTGAAGAGTGATGCTTAACTGACTGAATATTTTGTAAATAGTAAATCATCAGAGCTCTCAACAATCATGCTCAACTAATAATATTGAATAAAATGATAAAATAGGCACTGCTCAATTCTGATAATTGGTAATAATAAGAAATGTTTCTTGAGCAAATCAGCATATTAGAATGATTTCTGAAGAACCATGTGACGCTGAAAACTGAAGTAAGTATTAAAAGTTTGTCTAGGGGTCCAGGACACGTTTACATGGTAGTCTTGAACTAAGCATACTAAGCTTTTACACCTGAGATTGTATTGACATCTTACACTTAAGTATTTTGTCTTTAGTAGTATCCATTTGACCAGGTTCTTGTGACCGATAACAAACAATATTCTGTATTTCTCTCTCCTCAGATGTTGAACCTCTTCCTGAAATGACATCAGAGGAATTCAAGGGTATTTTAGCTTTATTTTTCTAATATTTAAATTAAATAGGTTTAACTGGTTTTACATTGTCCACAACTTTAAGCAGAGTACAGTTATACACTATTGGTTCTAATGGCTTCTTCCCATCGTGTCAGCAAAGTGTCTGGCTCCCGCACAGACCGGACTCTGCAGAGCCTCCATTAGACGCTATTACTACAACGATGGCATTTGTCAACCGTTCACCTTTGGAGGCTGTGGTGGAAACGAGAACAATTATAAAACTGAAGAATCATGCATGACCACCTGCACCGGTACTATTGTGTGTGACTGTTCATTTCCAGATTGCTATAAATCATTATGGAATGATAACTCTGTGTGCTTGCATCGCAGTGAAGGTCATTCCCAGCAGCACGAAGGACCCTGTCGATCCCAATTCTCCTAAGAGCTTTGAAGGTAAAATGCTAAGAATCTGTGTCAGATTCTATATCAGCTGTTATGAATTTCTGTATTTCAAACATTGCCAATAATGGAATAGTGAATGTTTATACAATATAACCATACTTTCTTTATCCTGTAACTTAATACAGAAACCTGTGCTGCGCCATCCGACTCTGGCCCGTGCCGTGCAGCCTTCCAGAAGTTTTACTTTGAGCCCAGCACTCAGTCTTGTAAGCGCTTCATCTATGGAGGCTGCCAGGGAAACCTAAACCGCTACAGCAGTGAGGAAGAGTGCATGGCAGCTTGCTCCGGGAAAGACGGTAAGAGGACAACAGGAATTCTCCTTCCGGTTTTAAGTGTGTGTCTTTGTTTTACTGGTAGCTTATGTTGTTGTATGTCTTTTTCTATAGGCCGTTTTGATGGACATACACGTAGCCGCTGGACTCCAGGTAAGGCATTGTTAAATACATGATATGTTTTAAAATACATTTTTTTACTCATTTTCGACATGAGAATACCCAAGGAAGCTGACATGGTGTTAAAGCACCAAACAAACATCCAACCAGTTATAAAATGTATTTTAAGTACTTATAATTTATATACCCACACTTGTTTCCAAAAGTTCAAAAGTTTGGGGTCAGTTAAAATTTGTTAAAGAAATTAGCATAGCAAGAACACATTAAACTGATCAAAAGTGACCGTAAAGATATTTATTTACAAATGATTTTTATTTTAAATAAATGCCGTTCTTTTGAACTTTTTATTCATCAAAGAATCCAGAAAATAAATGTATCATGTTTTGCACAAAAATATTAAGCAGCTCAACTGTTTTCAACACTGATAATAATAAGAAATGTTTCTTGAGCAGCTGATTTCCGAAAGATCATGTGACAGTATTACTGTTTTTACTGTATTTTTGATCAAATAAATGCAGCCTTGGTGAGACTTTTATTACAAAATTGAACATGTCTTGTGTCTCTCACTCGCAGCCTTCTTCCTAGTGGCCACCCTGGCCATCATGTCTGCCCTACTTCTGGTAGGTTTGATCCTGATTGCAGTGCGCAGACACTCCCAAACGAGTCTCTTCGTATTGGACGATAAGGAGGAGTTACTGCCTACAGAGGAGCAGGTGTCCTATGAGAAGCTGCCCAAAGAAGTCTCAAGCTAAAGCCAGAGGCCTTTTAGTGTCTGGTACGAATATCCATCTCATGACACTCCAACATTGAGCTGAATTAAAACTACTAAGTTACATTAAAGTTCCAAGTTAAGAATAAAGTTTTTGTTTCATTATTGTTTAAATTAGATATTCTACACCATTTTTTAACTGTAAAAGTGGGATATGTTGCACTATGATTTGGTGAGTTGGTTGAAATACTCCTATTACCTTCTTTGTCATCTGTCACTTTTTATGGTTATAATCCTACATAGAGGTAAATCAGCTTTCAGGGATGTATTTATTGTCGCAAGCAACAATAACTTCACTTGTATGTATATGTATGTATACATTTATAAATTAGAATTGATTGAGTTGATTTTTAAAGGCTTATAACACTCATGGCACATTTTTAGTGAGAATGATTCGATGTCATTAATAAGACATTATTAAGTCATTAAATCATTGCTACAGTCCATAGCCTTGTTCTTTGATTGTAAGCATATAAAAAATGCAGTAGATATGAGAAAATAAGAATGCATACATGAGAAAATACAATATACCATAACAGAAAATGTTTTATATGAACATATATTATCCTGTAGTATGGATAGACGTTTGATGACTCTTTGCCCACTAATGAATGTCCTGTAACTGTGACCTATGACTGTTTCATTCATATCAGCCTATACTTTTAAAAAAAAAGCATTGTTATTTTGAAATCTTCAATAATAAAGGAAATTTATTCAGTTCGGTTTCTTTTTCCAAGTACTGATTTGTTGATGTGTAAGCATGCCAAGAAGCACTAGGGCAGACCGGTGCTAGTCACACGAGGAAGTTGTCAGTATATTTATTTAAATCCAACATTGCCTGTTGGTTTCAAACACCATCTTTGTCAGAAAGTAGGATCATTTTGGGTTTCACCCTTCAAGCTAAAATTCCAGTGTCATTATAGCTCTTGGGTAACTAAGTGAACACATTTAAACCATTAGAGCAAGAGTTAACTATATAATGAAGGTAGATTATATCCGGAAGGTCACGACCGAGGGATTTTTCATGAATGTCAGGGGCAGGTTGTCATGTGTGTTATATGTTGTAATGTTTTACATGTTTTTTGCATGTTACCTTTTCCGTCTCATCTGTTTCCTGAATTTTTTTTTTTTTTTAGTTTACTTAAAATATTAAATGAATAATTTCGGAAGCATCATGCTGAAAATTTGGCTTTGCTATCACAATAAATAATATTTTAAAATGTATTAAAATGGAAAACGGTCATTTTAAATTATATTTCTCATAGATTTTCTGGGCAATAACCGTGTGAATGTTAATGAAATTTAAAACTTTTAAAATATGTTCCTAATCAGAAATGGACTTTCAGTAAATCTATTTTTTGAAAGTCTATTTCTGATTAGGTAAATATTTTAGGTACTGTTAGAGCAAAAAACAAAAAATAGCCCTTAGTTGTCATTCAAATTCACATCTGAATAGCCACTAGGGGGCGATGGTGGATTTGATGGTGGCACAAGTTTTTACGAATACAAGGAAATGCAAAGTCAGTTCTCTATTATTTTGGTCTTGTTTTAATTAATATCACATGTACCACACTCCAATAATGAAAGTGTGTTTTAGATTCTCAAGTCTTTTACTCTGAATGAAAACTGTAAATAAAGAGTCACAGACATGAGACACTTGTGAGAAAATGAATAAACCCCCTTAGTATCTAGTAAAACAAAATATGTTTTAAAAATCCATTTTGAACTAAGAATGTGTTTAAATTACCGTTCTATCATGTTTCTAAACAGTTGTTGCTGTATGGGGTATGGGCACAGTGAACCCCATTTATAATTTGTTAAGAGCAAGTCTCACACACCGAGCAGCATTTGGAATGTAGGTTCTGTCTTTGTCTCAGTAAGCGTAGAGCTCTGAAATTAGGTCATAAAGACCGAGCGATTAGCTCATTTCCCAGTCATGTAAAATTACCCCCTCCACTCACACAGAACAGGCAAAAGAGGAAGTCAGGAGAGCATTACAAAAAGTTTGGCTAACATGGCCAGCTTACTACAAAGTCTTTGTGTTGAGCATTACAAGTTTTCCAGGAACAAACTGACTAGGCACACTGAAACATTCACACTGAAAGAAATAACTCAAAAGGTCTTCATGGAGGTGTTTTAGAAAACCTGAGAAAGTGGGAGGAATGAGGGGGTCGTGGCTCACACTTAGATCATGAAAGTGCAGTGTGGGAAACGCAGCATGTTTACAGAGCCCCATCCGTCTACTGCGGGGCTCCAGGATGTTGTAAGGGCCCTTTGTGTTTGAGTGTGTATCTGAGCCTTGGCCTATGTAACCCCTGCATGTTGTCAGTGCCCGTGGTCATCTGGTTTCCATCCTGCGTAAGTGTAATTGTGCTTATTTAGTGTGACACCCCTCCTTTCTCCTCCACTCCCTCCTCACCTATCATAACACCAGCTGCCCGACTAACTGCAGAGATGCTCGGCATTCCATGAATGTGAGAGCGCCAAGCCTCCAAATGCACCCAAACACACAATCATCTTGAGTCAAGTTATTGAGTTTTGAAAAGACATTTCTAAACAGATTGCAAAATCTGTCAAACTTTTGTCCGCAAGAAAATGTTAAAAGGTGGAGGGATGTTTTTATTCTAGAGAGCATCTGATTGTGTAACCAACAGAAGAGCAATACAACAACACAGCATGAAGAAGAACACAAACTTTAAAACTGCCAGTTTGAAAATATATCATCTACTCCACTTTCCCGTCAAACCAGGAGCTTTAAAGTTTGTGTTCTTCTTCATGCTGTGTTGTATTGCTCTTCTGTTGTTCACAAGTCTTCAAGTGATATGAATTCGCAGGTCAAAGTTCACAAAACTTGAACTTTGGAATGCAGCGAAATTCTAATGCCCTTGAGTTTCCATTCTCCCACATTTGCATGTGATTTATTTTCTTAAATTGGATCATGGAACTTTGACCTCTCTATTGCCATCTGTGGTTTAAACATAAAATGACATGAAACCTGCTGAGTTTTTTTTCCTTTTGGCACAAAGTGTGTATGTGTATATATATATATATATATATATATAAATATAAAAATAACAAATCTTTTTAGTTGAAGTGTAAAAGCAGTTATATGGTTTTCTCACCTGTGGTGAGTTAGTTGTTCGAATGTGTTGTTTACTCTAGTAAAACTCACAAGCCCTTTCACCTCTGCATCAGTTCCTCCACTGCAGCCCTCTGCACCTCTGAGGCCTGTCACCATGTCTCTAGTGCCTGACAACAGACTACACTGAAAATTACCAGAAGACCAACACAAACCACATCTGACTCAAAACAGAGTTAGAGAGAGAATGACACAGGAGAAAGACACTGAGAAGACATGTCATGGATCTGGAAAGACGGGGTTAAGATAAATGACATAGGAGAAGAAGAAAGAGTGCAGTGAGAAAGTCACTGCTGATGATGTCATGGCTTTGGCTCTCTAGAGCGTGGAGAGGGCCGGGCCTGAGCACAGTGCTGGTGGGGGTGGGGGGGAGGTGGATGTGAATTCTCTCGAGGGTAAAGTTTAACAATCCAGACTCAGTTCATGGTTCCCACGACACAGTCCGACCTCCCTCCTGACTCCATCCCGATGTCCATTCTTTCTCTCGTTCCTTTCTAAAGTCACTAGTCTCCGTGCCTATAAATGGGAAGTCTGGCGGCAGTTTCGAGGAACGGCCTGCACTGAAAAAGGCAATAAGGACTCACGGCATCCATGCTTATTAAAAGAAATCTGGAGATTATAAAATGCCTCTGAAATGGAAAATAGTTGAGGCAGATAATTTAAGAGACGGTTGGGTGGCTAGACCGCACCCACCTTGTTTTTCTTTCTACTTTCTTTATCATTCTATGGTAGTCTTTATATTTCTTAGGAAGACAAAAGCCTTTCTATTTCAGCATCTGGGTCAACAATATGGCACTTACTTATTTTTTGTCGAGATTTAATCATTTAACCAAATGTACATTAAAAATGCAATTCTCATGCAACGATTTAAATGTTTTTGATTTATGAATTTAAATTTATGTTGATATTTTTCAAGGGACATAAAGTCAAATGTCCTGAAATCATAATAAAGAAAAAAAGCCTAATTAAGAAAAGGAAATTAGTCAAGTCAAGTGAGCTTGTCATTCCGCCAGATATGGAGACATACAATGGAATAAAATGTTGTGCCTCACAGGACCACGGTGCTACACATGTAAACATGAACAAATGTGAGCATACATACATAAGACATAAAGGTATCTAAACATATAACCTATATAGATCTACACATACATAGCCTATATAAACAGTAAAAAAAAACGATATAAACCTACACATAGCTAACCTAAATGCTTTACATAAGTACTTTAGATAAAACTTAGACATACTTGGATTTACATGGTACAAACATAGTGCTGAGGTACATATTTGAATGCAATAGAGTGAATAGACATTCAGGGCAAAAATACTGCAAACAGGGAGAGTGCAAGATGAAAGAAAAACATTTTTTTTAAGTGTCCATGCAGTGCACATAAGCAGATATATATAATTTTTCTAAAGAAATCCTGCCCAACAGCGACACCAGCAGGGAAGGTTACTGTGGGAATCAGTGACTCTCTTGCCTCCCCCGAGCCCATTGAGTTTTAATAGACACCCTGAAGCATGCGGTGGGTTTAGTGGGGGTTAACTGAGAATGAATGGGGAAAAGTCACATGAGAGATGGCAATGCCTCCATCGCGATATGATTGGATATGACTGGTTGTAATGGGCTGTGATTGATTAATGTGATAAATCCCACCCCTTGTGTTTGTGCGCACTCTGTGTTCGCTAATCAGTCTGTCTGAATGAACAATATAATGGCGTTAATGGAAAGGCTAATTAAACAAAGTAAGTAAACAACTCACACACTTAGATATAATCACTTTGTAACGTCAAAGACTTGGAATGGCCTGAAAACATGATCTGTGGGAGTTTTTAGTGATTAATCCGCTTGGTGAAATTTAAAGTATAATCTCCGTGTCTATGACCAGTATTAATGGAACTTTGATGACTGATGATAAAAAAAAAAAAAAAAAAAAATAGTTAACTATTAAAAATAATATCTAAACATAAGTTCACAAATAAAATATATTGTTTAAATTGTTACTGCCTTGAGTTATTATTTTGGAATAAATGTAAAATGCTTAAAAACACTTGATGATATTCATACTTGGCTTTAATAAATAGAATATTGATTACATTGTTAATGTAAAAATATAAAATAGAATTTAATTGTTTTTTTTTTCCTTTTTTGATAAGTAATGTTTATAAATATATAAATCTTTATATAATTATATATCAAAGTCAGAAAACAAATCGATATCCACGATATTCATCAATATCAATGAAATAAGTCTCTTAAAATATCAGATACAGCGCAGTTGCACTATGGGCGTCCCGAGTTCGAACCCCAATTCTTGGACCTTTCCCGATCCCGCCACCCCTCTCCCACTTTGCTTCCTTTCATTACACAGTTCTAAAGGCAAAAACACCAAAATAAATCTTTAAAAATATCCCACACACACTTTTTACTTTTGAAAATATATTTAAAAATAGTTTTGAAATTAAAACTCACAAATCATGGTGTGAGTCAAATATGTATAACCTTTTACTTAAAGGTTGCGCCACATGATATTTTGAGAGTCATTAAATTTGAACTTTTCTTAAAAATGGCATAAATG